TATGTGTATGTATAATCTATTTTATATTCATATATGTATATATATGTTTGTGTGTGTGTGTGTGTATGTATGTATATATACTTATATATATATATATATGTTTTTGTTTCGTTATATGACATCTTTATTTGTAAATTGATTCTGGTAGTGGTTATTTGCGCCGCTAGTGTGTATGTCAAATGTTGGATTTGATTTGGATGGGCAAATGTGATACTGATCTATACACATGACAGGCAAATTGTTTTCTTTTGCATGCGTTCATGCATGTCTGTGTTTCTATTTTATCAATGCATGTAGGCTCATTATTCTATATTTGCATATTGTTCATATGTTTCGATCTGATCAGAACTTCAGTTTGTATTTCATGTATATATCTTTATCTATATATATATATATATATATATATCGCTTAGATTTAAACGATGCCTGCTGTATGTGGTCGAAAATATGTAAACACTTTCACGTTAATGTTGGTGTCCGCATGTGATGACGCTTTGAACTATCTCGGCATGGTGTACATGTATGTTTCCCAGCTCTATAATCTGTCATGCGCGTCATAGCAGATACGTGTTCGTATTGTCTGGCATGTCCATTGTGCACCAGGAGTCGATCGGTATATGTTTAAGCGTAGAACGCGACGCTCCATTTCTTATGACGTACCAGAAACTGGAAGTGCTAATCCCAAATGCAATTATGAACTTGAGCGCGTCGTCACCTCTTCTCATTACACACCTTGTTCTGTCTAATATCAATTCAGTTTGCCAAAATAAACCGAGCGAACCAAATACTTTCGGATCCAAAAAAAAAAAAGTCTACGATAAATTGGGCCATGCCGGAATCCAGATGTACGAACAATCCGGCGAGAGTGACGCCGTCATGTCGGTAAGTGACACATCAGGTTGTATACAACGAGGACATGTAGTATTGTTACGAGTTTAAACGGATTTGGGATAAGTAAATACACGTATCATAATTTGTGAATATAACTGGGTATAAAGACGGAAAGTGTTCTTATTATTCACGGACAAATTTTTGCGTTTGTGTGTTGTGTGCATATACACTTAGGTTTCAGTTGTCATTGGCAAACGGTCTACTAAAATATTACTGTCTGTGTCGTATGTGGATGTGGCTGTCTATAGTTACGGCTTCAATAGTTCCGGATTGAACAGCATTACTAAGATTCACAAGCCAATCGTTTGGGCCTTTTCTGTCTATCTGTCTGTTTGGACATGTTTGCATTCTCCATCGCGCATGAGTGAATGTATATATACATTTTCACGAGTACGCTGCAAGTATACAGCCTCCCTGTATCCTCCCTGCACAACCATCCGCATGACATGCATACTTACACATAGATTTTATAACATCCAATACATATATGCCTATATATATATATTTATATATATACTCTCACATGCTATAACATCCTGTATTTGCACATATATACCTATACTTGCACATGCTATTACATCCTATACTTATGGACCTACAATGTCACATACTATAAACATGTCTTTTTATGCTTGTCTTTGTCAGCGTGTACCCATCGTGAACGGGTGTCACCCTGTCTGAGTTGCTATTGCCTTTGCATCCAAGCGCATTATATCTGTATGCCTACTATGCACATTCACGCTCACGCCCATCATATATACATGCCCCACTCATAAATATTCCCTATTATGGACATGGCCGTGGCTGCAGACTCATGGTATGCATATGCATGTCATCCACATTCACGCCTCTACCCATCAGCTGTAGCTCTATATACACGCCTATGCCACACGCACATCTATACACATTTCCTGAGTATCTGCATATCCATATATCTACTTATGTCCAAGCACATGCCCTGAACATCAGCATATCCAACTCGACTATACTCATCCACTAAACCCCCAAATGCATCGAGACTCAAACCCCATACCCCTCCTTGTCTACCTCTCTTCAGATGATACTGATGGGTGGCTGTGCCCGATTCTGCATCATCGCCACCTTCCTGTTCACCGGGTGCTGCTTCTGCTTCTGCTGTTGCTTCTGTTGCACGTGCTTCCGGTCAAATCGAGGCCCAGGCGAGTACGAATATCCGGATGACGAACCCACCACAGACCAACCCGGGGCTCAGCCGGGTATGGGCGAGGAAGGGGCCATGCCCATGCCACCACCCAAGGCCTACGCACGCCCCGAAACTACTGAGGACTCCGAGGCTAAGCAAGCGGCCGCAAAGGCGATGATGGAGAATATGACTGAGCAAGAACAAGAGGAGATCAGAGCGCGAGTGAACAACCGGTACGGCTCGTTTGAGCCGAGCCCTGCCACGGGCGCGACGGTCATCCCCGCACCACCGTCGGATAGCTCGAGTGCCACTGCCCGGGAGCCAGTAGATGGTATGTGTCTCTGGTTGGGTGTAGTTGTAGGTGGGATGGTGTGTGTGGCGACAGTGCGAGGTGGGTTATTATTCCGATGAGCGGTGGGGGGGGGGGTTGTGTGTGTGTTTTAAACTCTGGTGCATAGTGCCTGAACTAAAAGGGGTGTGGTTTTAGTTGTGATGGTGTGTGAGTGGTTCTTATTTCCGAATGTAGTGTTTGTGTTTCAAACTCTCGTATAGTACCTGAACTTTATGGTATGGTTTCAGTTGTGATGGCGTGAGGAGTGGTTTTTAATTCTCGCAAGTAGTGTTTGTATTTCAAACTCTGTCGTATAGTACCTGGAAAGGGTTCTGTAATTTATTGAATTGTGTCACGTGTTTGTCGGATTCTCATGGAGTGCAGTGAGATGGAAAAGGAACACACATATATTTATCTGACAGGTTCACTTCCTATACACTTGTTATGTTTCCCGCGCCACTGTACTTTTTGCTCAAACAACTTCTGGGTACAATCCTATGCACGTTTTCATCGACTACACTTGTATTGGGCTTATTATCTCGTGTAATGCAGTTGTACCTGTGCACGTAGCATACTACCCCGGTCTGCAGGTTAAAAAAAAGATACTGCTTGTCTTGTACATTATACTAACATCAGACGGGCGCACATTTTTTGTACTACTTTTGTGTGCAGGTGTGAAAGAGCGTCCACAATACTGTCCGCATTGCTCGACCAGTCTGGCGTACAGCAAGGGAGATGAGTGCCCAGCGTGCTTTGAAGATATTTATAGCACAGACTTGAAGGAAGAGTAGGCTTGCGTGAGGTGGCTAATATGTCATATATACACATATGTATGTATTGTGTATATGTAAATGGATGTATACACATCCGTACAGGCGAGTGCGCCTCGTGCTTTTGGGTATTGCATAGCACAAAAACCAAGGAGAAAAAGGTACATATGCGTGGGAAAGTACCCTCCATTTAGTTTCAAAATAGTTAAATACTCGCTGGCGAGTTCAAAGTAAGGGGTGATGCCGTGAGGTGTCCGTTTGACATAATGCACACCGAGCTGGTAAACGACACGGTCGTCCTGGTATACAACAAATCTTCTACTCTGTGCCTTGTGACAGGCTGCTTCACGCTATAGTAATAGCATGGATTCTGAAGAAATCACCCACCCGTTTCAGTCAGACGGTTAGGGTTCAGAGTCCATGGAGTTACAGAGGTGTGGAGAGTCCGGAGCGCTTCGACCGGGTGCTCTCGCGCATTCCGTTGTGTGCGCAGCCGGTGTTATGTATCGAAGTTTCTGACTGAAGATACGTTCCAGTCAAGCCCGCCTTAGTAGAGTTGTGTACAAAGATTACTTATAACATCCATCCAATGAATAAATTTGAATTAAGTCATGCTCTACCTATGTACACGCACTGTGTACAAGTACTCGCTTGATCTATACAGTACACTCTATTCTGCGGATCGGGTTGTTCCTCTATGTAGATCTAGTTATTTCATAATATATTTCACCCGCATTCAGTTCTCTTGACAACTGCACAAGCACAGTCTATACGGACATGCAAGTACAACTATTCTGCTTGTCTGAACACCTTGTGACCTGTATCCTATGCTTCATTTGATCCCCTCAGAATACTTACCCTGTACCACACATTGCAACATAACGGTGTCCCCTTGCATACCCACAACTTGATCCAAAATTGGATCATTGAAGATGTGCAAATTCACCACTGAACACTCGCATTTAGGACGTTTTGCCTAGTGTCTTCATTACCAGCTGTTAATAGTGAAGGTTTACTGCTTCACTCCTTGCACATCTTGGTTCGGCATTTGACTTTGGTCAACCCTATAATCTGTTTGGGGCCGAGGCTTTCGAATCTGGCTCGTCGCAAACACCTTTGCGCATGTGCACAGCGTATATAGCTTTCTATATCATAGAGGATCTTATAGAAGGTTGTATAGCATAGTCTCCCAGATCAATTTTAGGAGGGCCATGTGCGTAGTGTACTGTAGAATGGACAAGGAAGCTGGGCTAAGCAAATATCATATCTATACGATACGTGCATTGTATCCAACAAGTCCATAGATACAAAATGTCGCAATTAGAGTTTGTGGCGGATTTGGAGTGAAATTCGGAGTTTAGTTTGGTTTGTATAGCGCACGATTAGATTCTCAACTATATAATCCAAATTGATAGTAACAAGCAAAACTTAGGGTGCTCTCAGAGGTTGGGACTAGCTTTTGAAATTGATCGTGATTAACAATTGTTGAACCGACAAGTGGGGTGAAAGAATAGTCGACTGAACTTCGAACCCCCCTGTGCTTGAGAAATTGGCGTTTTTGGGATTTGAACTGGTAATCCAACTTATCCATACCCACAAAATTCGGTTAAAGTAATGTACCCACACTTTTTAATTTCAACGTCGCAGACTCCATACGCCTTGGCGCAGGCTTAGGTTGCAACCCACTGCATTTGCCTACAGCCTAGTAGCACTCCCATAGCCTAGGAGCATTCCCATGCACACCCACATTTAAAAATCACCTACGTAGTCCTTGCGTGGTTTGCCTACCTCCGCATCTCTTGCGTGCTGAAGTTATAAAATGAACAGAGTTATATGGAACGAACACGGTCAGTATCCATGTCAATGCAGTAATAGACCGCCCCGACATAGCCAGGGATGAATTTGGCATCTTAGATTTTCTGTAACGGGCCATAAGCATTAACATATCTGAGCCACAAAAAATATATATACTATATCTGTGGAAAAGTAGACAAACTATTCTAATCTACACATCCGAAAAACGCCTGTCTCAAAATAATACCAATACACACACGCGCACGTGTACGAGAGTATGCGAACATACACGTTACACACACGTACTATACATAAAAGGTCGAACCACGTATCAATCACTTTAAACGACGCTTTGTAACGGAATCGACTATATACTCACCTGTGCGCCTAACACGCCCTTCAACAAGGCGGCGGGCACCAGGAGTCCAAAAATAAAGGACAGGAGCGCATTTTTAGGCGTCATGAGGAAGGGTTCTACCGTGCTCTCTCTCATCTTGCCCCAGTCCTCGATAGCTTGACTTTTCTATTTATAGAATCGAATATGAGCGGCGATTAGAAATAGATAAATATCTATGCGCGAAAGGCGTTGAGATAGATATATTTTCCAGTGTTCATAGTGCGAAGCAAGCCCCCGTACTTCCCGCGATAAAGCACACTTCAACTTTAAGTTGACGATACAGATTTCCTATACAATAAGCTCAAGCATATACACGTTAATAATACACGTAACTCACGAACTCATTTATAAATGTGCGTGTGAAGTGAACACATGGAGATATACAACAATGAACTGATGTATTTAATTGCTACTTTGATATTAATTCAACCGCACATTTGTGACTCCATATGGACATTCCAGGAAGGCCATCGTAAATTAAACACACTACAGTAATATATATGTAGATGTATATGTATACGTATATGCATATATATAT